GGGCTCACCATAACCCGTGCTACTTGCAACCTCTTGTTCCGAGTAACTGAAGCTAAAACATGGACACCAAACATCCAGAACACATCCCAACACTCTGGGAATGTCTTCTCTACACGCGATCTCTCTATCAACCTTTCTTCCGCCTCTGTGGTACCAGTTATCAGTTATCCTCGTGTTCCGTGTTATTATTTTGTTCCCCAGACTGTCTTTGTTAACCTTCTGTTCTTTATGATGGCGTTGTTTACCTTACGTTCTACAAGCTTTCTTCCCTTGTCTTCAGTCCTCTTGAGTTCGCTGCTAATCTACCAGTTCTCCAGGCTTTAGCTGCTAAGTTCTCCTCTTATGGTGGTGATTAACGTCCTGTAAAGTGTTATTGGCGTCCTTCCAAGAAGGCCATCTTCTCTGTGTTAAGTACCGGCCTCAGACTCTTCCTTCAGTGTGTTAAGCATTCACTAGATTTTATGCCACAAAATTCTTGTGACGATGTCCGCCCTGTCAGGTAACGTTTCTTGGCATCGATAAATATTCTTATGACAGGCTTGTGAGCTGGTGTCATGTTCCCAGACCATACACACACTCGTGTCATGTTCCCAGACCATACACACACTTGTGTCATGTTCCCAGACCATACACACACTTGTGTCATGTTCCCAGACCATACACACACCTGTGTCATGTTCCCAGACCATACACACACTTGAGTAATGTTCCCAGACCATACACGCACTTGTGTCATGTTCCCAGACCACACACACACTTGTGTCATGTTCCCAGACCATACACACACCTGTGTCATGTTCCCAGACCATACACACACTTGAGTAATGTTCCCAGACCATACACGCACTTGTGTCATGTTCCCAGACCACACACACACTTGTGTCATGTTCCCAGACCATACACACACCTGTGTCATGTTCCCAGACCATACACACACTCGTGTCATGTTCCCAGACCATACACACACATGTATCATGTTCCCAGACCACACACACACTTGTGTCATGTTCCCAGACCATACACACACTCGTGTCATGTTCCCAGACCATACACACACTTGTGTCATGTTCCCAGACCATACACACACTCGTGTGTATGGTTTTGTTCTACATTTTGAATGAAGACTTGAATTTCTCCAAATTACCGAATTTTGTTAAACAATTCATATATGTTGCTTTAAGACAAAGGCGGCGGCCATCTTGTAATCTTAATTTAACCACTAATCCCTAGAGGGATGACCTTTCTCTGCTTGAGTCAGGTCGACTACCGTCTGACTCCAAACTTTCAAAACTACGCGGTCCCCATGTCTATGAGAATCTATACTAAATAATTCCCTACAACAAACCTAGTTTGTTACACCACCTTCACCACCACCACCACACCACCACCACCACCACCACTGTCACGTGGGGGTGGGTGGTGGGCCGGGGCTCTGCTAACACTCGGCTGCTAGGGGCTCAAAAGGCCCAAATACTCAGCCCCTCCGACTCCCGGGATTCACCGGAGTCTCCTTGGTCACACAAGAGAGGACCAACAATGCCCACCTCCGCAGGTCTTTGCTTCCACCACAAAAGGGGTGCCACTGATTCACCCTGGAAGCCCTTCAGTCAAACACGGGGAAACTGCTGTTAACAGTTCCGGCCTAGACCCGTGGGGGAGTGAAGGAAGACTCAGGCTTACCTTATAACCATAACCTCCCTGAGTCTTGCCTGCCAGACAAAAAAGGTTGCAGGAACTCCTTTCCCGCCTGTCTTCTCTATCTTCTTCTTAGCAAGGTCGCCAGCTGGGTTATTATATCTGCACCCCAGCAATGCAGTTCAGTGGGTGTATTATATATTATTTTTCCCACACTCGCTCCTTCCACAAGGCGTTGCTCCTTGTCCTAGGCACGGTGTCGTCCTTCCAAGACCCTCAGTGTATGTGACCCGGTCACAGCTAGGCCTGCCCGCCGCACCTTCCAGACCTCAACGTCCAGCGGCGCCGCCCCAGCGTCGTCGCCGACTATTTTCCAAGTTTGGCACTTCTCTGCTCAATGAACCTGGTTCCTTTTTGCTTCCCAGAAGCGCAGGGTCTCCAATAACTTATGGTGGGCTGCGATGGCTAGTTTAATCCACTGAATAAGGCTTGTAGAGCCTCTAATCCTTGAGAGCAGACCGAGGCGCGTCCTGTCGCTTCCAAGGTCGGATCAACTCTGACGTTGGCGCCGCCCGGGGCACTCGGTGACGTCATGGCGGGCCCTGATTTGTCGCCCGCGACCTAAGTCGGCCAATCCGCGATCAGCTAGTGTCCCTTCCAAAAGGTCATATCTGCATTAGGGGATACTCTTTCATTTTATAACAGGGCGCCAATTTCTCTTTATTTACAACTTATAATGTAACTTCCTTTCCTTTACTGGCAGCCGGTCTGGTCGCCACATATATCATTGGACTCCCTGAACCTCAGAGAATCAGTAGGGAGAGCTGATATGACTCTTTAAGCCGGCAAACGAAAGAGATAGGAGAGGGCACCGTAACACCACACCACCACACCACCACTACCACACCACCAACACCACTACACCACCACACCACCACACCACCCCTACCACCACACATCAGGGCGGCTATACACACATCCTTCAAGACGGGGCAGCAGTTTGTGAAGACATAAAGTACCTTTACGACGCGACTCTTGCCTCGCGTGTCTCTCTGTAAATAAAAATCGAAAGATATTATGAAATGATGGTCATATTTTTCCTGTTTAAGTCTCAATCGTTGAAATGACGGGGTGTTGGTCGGCATGTTATACCCGGAGTATGGCACGATACTATTGGAAATACGCGCAAAGAAATCACATTATCCTGAGGTATCAATGAGGTTTAAAGCCAAGTGCTTTGGAGCTCCCAGTGCGGTGGTTCGAATCCACATAATGGCTCCTACTGATTTTCTGGCTGAATTGTTATGTAAAGTTATGACGGACCTCGGCGCCATCTATGATCCAGGTTCCAAGACATAATAGTTGACCCTCGCATTAATATTAGTTACCCATCTTGTTGTCTGCTGTTCTGGGAGGTGATGAGGTACTGGTGACTGGTAACAGGCGGCAGGGAAGTACTGTACATGGGTCGACCTTGGCACTCCTCTGTGGGAGTGTGCTAGCCAGAGGGCTGGTGGACTCAGCAATCCACTGAAGTCCACTACGGGGCTCACCATAGCCCGTGCCACTTGCCTGCTCCTGTGCCAGGTAAGTCCACTACGGGCTCACCATAGCCCGTGCTACTTGCCCAGCTCCTGTGCCAGGTAAGTCCATTACGGGCTCACCATTACCCGTGCTACTTGCAACTTCCAAACTCTTGTTCCGAGTAGCTGAAGCTAAAACCTGGACACCAAACATCCAGGAACACATCCCAACACTCTGGCAATGTCTTCTCTACACGCGATCTCTCCATCAACCTTTCTTCCGCCTCGGTGGTACCAGTTATCAGTTATCCTCGTGTTCCGTGTTATTATTTTGTTCCCCAGACTGTCTTGTTAACCTTCTGTTCTTCATGATGGCGTTGTTTACCTTACGTTCTACAAGCTTTCTTCCCTTGTCTTCAGTCCTCTTGAGTTCGTTGCTAATCTACCAGTTCTCCAGGCTTTAGCTGCTAAGTTCTCCTCTTATGGTGGTGATTAACGTCCTGTAAAGTGTTAGTGGCGTCCTTCCAAGAAGGCCATCTTCTCTGTGTTAAGTACCGGCCTCAGACTCTTCCTTCAGTGTGTTAAACATTCACTAAATTTTATGCCACAAAATTCTTGTGACGATGTCCGCCCTGTCAGGTAACGTTTCTTGGCATCGTTAAGTATTCTTATGACAGGCTTGTGAGCTGGTGTCATGTTCCCAGACCATACACACACTTGTGTCATGTTCCCAGACCATACACACACCTGTGTCATGTTCCCAGACCATACACACACTTGTGTCATGTTCCCAGACCATACACACACCTGTGTCATGTTCCCAGACCATACACACACTTGTGTAATGTTCCCAGACCATACACGCACTTGTGTCATGTTCCCAGACCACACACACACTTGTGTCTTGTTCCCAGACCATACACACACCTGTGTCATGTTCCCAGACCATACACACACTTGAGTAATGTTCCCAGACCACACACGCACTTGTGTCATGTTCCCAGACCACACACACACTTGTGTCATGTTCCCAGACCATACACACACCTGTGTCATGTTCCCAGACCATACACACACTCGTGTCATGTTCCCAGACCATACACACACATGTGTCATGTTCCCAGACCACACACACACTTGTGTCATGTTCCCAGACCATACACACACTCGTGTCATGTTCCCAGACCATACACACACTTGTGTCATGTTCCCAGACCATACACACACTCGTGTCATGTTCCCAGACCATACACACACTTGTGTCATGTTCCCAGACCATACACACACTTGAGTCATGTTCCCAGACCATACACACACTTGTGTCATGTTCCCAGACCACACACACACTCGTGTCATGTTCTCAGACCATACACACACTTGTGTCATGTTCCCAGACCATACACACACTTGTGTCATGTTCCCAGACCATACACACACTTGTGTCATGTTCCCAGACCATACACACACTTGTGTCATGTTCCCAGACCATACACACACTTGTGTCATGTTCCTAGACCACGCACACACCTGTGTCATGGTCCCAGACCATACACACACCTGTGTCATGGTCCCAGACCATACACACCTGTGTCATGGTCCCAGACCATACACACACCTGTGTCATGGTCCCAGACCTCCTCACGACACAACACTTCCGGCTACCAACAACCACACTGGATCGCGAATCAGGAGCCTCCACTCTCTACGGTGAGGTACTGTGACTCCCACGCTCACTGCCCACGATCTCATACTTACTGTGAACTGTGTGTGGTGCTTTTACTCCACCAGTTACCTGAGGAGGAGCAGGAGGAGTTAGAGAGACCTCCTCACTACACCTCTTACCAGTATGTGAAGGCTGCTAAGAGCCACAGTAGTGGCTCCGTGGGACACAGTTGCACGCTCCTGACTGTGGCCATTTTGTCCTGTACACTTGGCCATTTTGTCCTGTACACTTGGCCATTTTGTCCTGTACACTTGGCCATTTTGTCCTGTACACTTGGCCATTTTGTCCTGTACACTTGGCCATTTTGTCCTGCTGTAACACGGGGGGATGGGGGGGGGGTTCTGGAATGTTCTTTTCTCCCTTTACTCTCCCTCTACCCGTATTCTTACTTTTGTTCTCTACCAAGGGACCCCAAAACTTTCACTTGAGCCGACCCCGCGCCACGTGGTCTCAAGACGATTTACCGACTTGAGATTCTACAGCCCGTATGACGTGGACTAGGCTTCTAGCAAAACCCCAGGGTCGCCTTTCTACCGCCGCCACCAGACCAGTTACACTGAGCAATGATCGAGGTCTGGATCGATCATGCTAATCAATAACTTTGGGGCTTGATCCCCACTAGTAACATATAACCTTGGATCTTAAGTGTGGAATTAAAAATCAATGGGAATACTGAATTATGACTCGGTGTTAGAATCGGCGCCCAATTCAACTCGGCCTCGTGGTCCCCACGTGACACGGACAAATCCACATAAATATACAAAAATGGAAATTAATGAAAAGACAAATTACTAGCTAATTAATTTATTCAAAACTAAGCAAAATCTAAATAGTTGGCACTCCCTGACTGAACACTCCCTGAATGGCAATGAGTTGAACTATTCCCCAACTATAACCTCTGAGCAACTTTACCTTGGGCGACCAGCTAGCTGTTGGTGCTGTCTTGGGGCCGATGATGGAAGGCCACCTGCCCGAGCTGCTACTAAAACCACACTGATCCCTGCTTGGCTAGTCCTACCCAGACCAGAACAGTGTATCCTTCCGCATAGACTAAGTTTTACCAAGTTACTAGCAAGGCTTAAGTTTAACAACTAACCTCTGTTGCACTGAATGATCCAGATTGGTTGAATAATTTTAACTGAAGTTAAATTACTCAAGCATCTCAAGGAAGAGCTATTCCCGATCACAAAATGGCTATTTGACCTTTGAGAATTATTGAATGTGGAAACTGTTGACCTATGACCGCCAGGTCACTCCACGATGCATTCTAGTTCTGGCTCGTGACGTCACTGATGGTGACTTAACTCAAAATCCTAATAATTAGAATACTCTTGATATTATAAACAGTAATACTACACAATACAATTTGAATACAAAATGAATAAAGGCTAATTTCTCTAAATAAGTGAATACAATAATATGATTCATTATACGAAACTATGAACAAAGATGCCAGCCATTTTGTGACTCAGATTTGCTAATCCCCAGAGGAATGCGCGTTGTTGAGGTCAGGTCCCAACACGAGACTTCTGGAACCTTCTGGATAATTCTTACAACAAACCTAGTTTGTTACACTGTACACTTGGCCATTTTGTCCTGAACACCTGGCCATTTTGTCCAGTGTTTTGGCATGCGACCAGATACTTCAGAGCACTTAACAAAGCCACCAGATATTTCAGAACACTTAACAAAGCCACCAGATATTTCAGAGCACTTAACAAAGCCACCAGATACTTCAGAGCACTTAACAAAGCCACCAGATACTTCAGAACACTTAACAAAGCCACCAGATACTTCAGAACACTTAACAAAGCCACCAGATATTTCAGAGCACTTAACAAAGCCACCAGATACTTCAGAGCACTTAACAAAGCCACCAGATACTTCAGAACACTTAACAAAGCCACCAGATATTTCAGAGCACTTAACAAAGCCACCAGATACTTCAGAGCACTTAACAAAGCCACCAGATACTTCAGAGCACTTAACAAAGCCACCAGATACTTCAGAACACTTAACAAAGCCACCAGATATTTCAGAGAACTTAACAAAGCCACCAGATACTTCAGAGCACTTAACAAAGCCACCAGATACTTCAGAGCACTTAACAAAGCCACCAGATACTTCAGAGCACTTAACAAAGCCACCAGATACCTCAGAGCACTTAACAAAGCCACCAGATACTTCAGAGCACTTAACAAAGCCACCAGATACTTCAGAGCACTTAACAAAGCCACCAGATACATCGGAGCACTTAACAAAGCCACCAGATACCTCAGAGCACTTAACAAAGCCACCAGATACTTCAGAACACTTAACAAAGCCACCAGATACTTCAGAGCACTTAACAAAGCCACCAGATACTTCAGAGCACTTAACAAAGCCACCAGATACCTCAGAGCACTTAACGAAGCCACCAGATATTTCAGAGCACTTAACAAAGCCACCAGATACATCAGAGCACTTAACAAAGCCACCAGATACATAAGAGCACTTAACAAAGCCACCAGATACTTCAGAACACTTAACAAAGCCACCAGATACTTCAGAACACTTAACAAAGCCACCAGATACTTCAGAGCACTTAACAAAGCCACCAGATACTTCAGAGCACTTAACAAAGCCACCAGATACTTCAGAGCACTTAACAAAGCCACCAGATACTTCAGAACACTTAGGAAAGCCACCAGATACTTCAGAGCACTTAACAAAGCCACCAGATACTTCAGAACACTTAACAAAGCCACCAGATACTTCAGAACACTTAACAAAGCCACCAGATACTTCAGAACACTTAACAAAGCCACCAGATACTTCAGAGCACTTAACAAAGCCACCAGATACTTCAGAGCACTTAACAAAGCCACCAGATACTTCAGAACACTTAACAAAGCCACCAGATACTTCAGAACACTTAACAAAGCCACCAGATACTTCAGAACACTTAACAAAGCCACCAGATACTTCAGAACACTTAACAAAGCCACCAAATACTTCAGAACACTTAACAAAGCCACCAGACACTTCAGAACACTTAACAAAGCCACCAGATACTTCAGAGCACTTAACAAAGCCACCAGATACTTCAGAACACTTAGGAAAGCCACCAGATACTTCAGAACACTTAACAAAGCCACCAGATACTTCAGAACACTTAACAAAGCCACCAGATACTTCAGAACACTTAACAAAGCCACCAGATACTTCAGAACACTTAACAAAGCCACCAAATACTTCAGAACACTTAACAAAGCCACCAGACACTTCAGAACACTTAACAAAGCCACCAGATACTTCAGAACACTTAACAAAGCCACCAGACACTTCAGAACACTTAACAAAGCCACCAGATACTTCAGAACACTTAACAAAGCCACCAAATACTTCAGAACACTTAACAAAGCCACCAAATACTTCAGAACACTTAACAAAGCCACCAGACACTTCAGAACACTTAACAAAGCCACGCCCTCAACATATAACAATATTAGCCTCTCCCGCGCACCAGTTCACTCCCCACAGTGATTACCTCTCAATAAGGTAAGTAGCAATAAAGCAGATAATGTTTAACTTCAACACAGTTCTAAAATAATTAGGACGTCACCCTACTCTTCACACTATGAGTTAACACTGCTGCTGCTGCTTGCTCTTCAGGCAACCTTGCATCAGAATGCACACTGGTAACTCCCCGAGTGCAGAACATGCATGTAGAGAAATAGGTTGCAACCACGCAGCACCACCCTCCTCTCTGCACTAGGTGACAACTCCACACATTAAGTGTTAAACCCGCTGCTTGCGCTTCACGTAACCTTCCGTTGCGCGTCGACACTTCCATGTCACTGACAGACTGAGACCATGGTGTATAAGGTGTCCCAGACACACTACACTCCCACAGTGTCTTTACACTGCCCAATGTCTCCTTGGCGGCAGGACTGTCACTTGTAGTTCCCCTGCTTGTAGAGGACGAGGACAGTATTAACTAGGAGCCGTCCTTTGTATATACAAATGGCAGAATATCTTTTGTTAGGTGGAAGACACTACTGGAAGGCACGCGTGACAGTGTCAAGCAGCAGCAGTACACACAATGGGTGTAAGCGTATAGAGGCAGGCGCACACAAAGTGAGGGGAAGTGTTAAGTGGCTTGTCTAAAGTACACACAGTGAGTGTAAGTGAATAGTGGCACCAGCTTACACATTGGGTATTAGAGTTATTCAAAATACATGCTCAACTCGGTGGCAACACCACTGCCAATTTTTCATGCATAAAATATGCAAAATAATTCAGCACATGCATCCCAGTTTTTTCTAAAAAAAAAAAACCGCACAGACCTGTGCAACAGACGAGTGAAATTCAACAGCAGCTGCAACTCCAAGTTAGTGTTCACTATATGCCAGAGTGAATGTAGCACTATACGCCAGTCTTTAGTAGCAATGAGTGTACATGTACTCGTGCACAGCAGTATTCATTGACTGCTTGGGTCTTCACGAGTACACTCGTGTGGTGCCCCCTGATGTAGTTCAGAGACAGCCAGGTCAAACTGCCCACCAACATTCAGTACATAAATTCTAATTAAGAAATGAACACTATTTATGGGGAACTTAATTGATCTGGTTGGGAAGTGAACTACACACACACACACACACACACACACACACACACACACACACACACACACACACACACACACACACACACACACACACACAGCCACGGGGGCCGTAGCTGAAGAGACAGCGACTGGGACTCGTAACCGCAGGGTTCAGGTTCGATCCCGGTTGCCGGCGGAAATCATCACCATGTGTACTTCTTAATTATATACACTTCTTACATCTGTACATAACACTGCTGGTGGAAACACCACCTCTACCCTCCAGCACCACTGACTGGTCTCCCGCAACACTGGCTGGTCTCCAGCAACACTGGCTGGTCTCCCGCAACACTGGCTGGTCTCCAGCAACACTGGCTGGTCTCCAGCAACAACACTGGCTGGTCTCCCGCAACACTGACTGGTCTCCAGCAACACTGGCTGGTCTCCAGCACCACTGGCTGGTCTCCCGCAACACTGGCTGGTCTCCAGCAACACTGGCTGGTCTCCAGCAACACTGGCTGGTCTCCAGCAACACTGGCTGGTCTCCAGCAACACTGGCTGGTCTCCAGCAACACTGGCTGGTCTCCAGCAACACTGGCTGGTCTCCAGCAACACTGGCTGGTCTCCAGCAACACTGGCTGGTCTCCAGCAACACTGGCTGGTCTCCAGCAACACTGGCTGGTCTCCAGCAAC